CATATCCTTGAGGGCTTCAGAGTTTTTACATTATATTGTCTTCTCAGATGAAGCTGTAAATTCAATTTCAATAAAGTAGCATATTTAAAGGGACAACAGTTATCAAATTAAATGCAGTCTTCCTGTCTTCTATTGTATCTAGCAATAACTCATGACACTTGATAAGGAAGATCTGATGATGAGGATCATTGGATGGGATGATTGATTGATTGATTGATTGATCAATCAATTGATTTTTCATTGATAATGTCACAAAGAATGTTCCAGTACTGGGGGAAGGCAGCTAGAACATTCTGCTGAAATGTAATGACCATCTGGTTAGCTCATCCATGACAATTTGCCTTGTGGATGTCTTTCCTTTCTCTGGAAAGCAAGACTTTTTCTACAACATACTATTGTGCAACAGCAGAGCTCTTTTCTGGTTGCTTTTCCTCTGGTTGAAGTTATTAGTTTTCTTTAATTACAGCCTTACACAGAGAGAGCTTGAGAGATGGCAGAACTTCTTGTTCAGTAATGTCTGTGGTTTGGGTCAAATTGAATCCACTATTTAAAAACAAAATATTCATGCAGTTGGATTCAACAGCAATTCTTACTCCTAAATCTTGTTTGATAATATCCTCTGTCCCCTAGAGATTTATATTACTTTTCAATATCTGTTAAAGAAAAATGTGTCAGGAAAAGAATTAAATCTAAAAAGTCACATGTTTACTTATGTGATTCTATCATCATGGAATCATGGTGTCCTCATTGTGTCTTGGTCTGAAAAGACAGGTGTCTGCTAAGGAAGGCAGGAGCCTCCCTTGAAATGGAAAATGTAAACCCTCTCACTGCAAATTATTATAATTTTGAAATTAAGCAGCTCTCAGGCAAAGATATGGGAGTAGGAACAACAGTTCTTTATTAGGGAAGAAAATAGAAATAAAATAAACAATGCAGTAATACAAAACAACACTGACAGTGTCAAAATACGACCTGACACCCTGTGGGTCAGGGTGTTGGGAGCAGTCCAATTGAAATGGCGGCTGCTGTCCTCCTGGAGTGACAGATGTGGTTCTGTTGGAGCAGGGATCCTGTAGAAAGGTGTAGCTTTCCTTGGAAGGTTCAATGGTGGTACAAATGGGCCTGGTCTTCCTTTGAGAATCCAGTGGGAAAAGGCTACTGGGGTGTTCCAAATCTCAGATTATATCCAGGTGGGAATGCTTGGCTCCTCCCACTGGGTGCAGCATTTCACAATGGATGATGTAATTTTTATCAGTCATGCACTGAGACGGTGGCCCATTCACAGAAGATATTTCCTGGAGGGATGTGTCATGAAAGAGATAAAGAAAACTGCCCAATTAACACAAGATAACCACCCCACCTCTAACAGATGGGAATAGAATACATGCCCTCACCCACATCTTGCAACTCAGGAACATTGAGAGGAAGCTTTATTGTTTCATGACAGTTTTGGTACTATTTTCATGCCTATTTTTGGCCAGAATCCCAGCTAATAATTTGAAGAAATGTCAGAGGCATAATGTAGTTGTTACTTTTAAATATCACATATAGTTACTTTATGTTATCTTGACTGTGAAAGATCACATCACACATTGGAAGCCTTAATCTGTTAAGCAACAGCAGTTACTGATGAAATGAGTACGTGACATTTAGACTGTATTTGGGATTATCTGAATATCTAATGTATGGAATGGATGTTAAGTCTTTGAATTTGACAAATTGACAAACTGAACACCAAGTATTTAAAGAAGGCTTAATCTTCTGTACTGAGCTTTTATGAGTAGTGCATGTATTCAGCTTTCCTGAAAAATTCAGTTGTATTTGGAGAAGTATGGGAATATATTCAAAGTGTCATCACTTGTGAAAGTGTCATCACTTAGCTTGTGAAAGCTAAGAAATTAATTTCTACAATCAACAATAAGATGGCAACTCAGCATCAAGTATTGCCTGAGGTTAAAAATAACTCATTTCCCCAAAAGAAAAGTGTTATGAGAAATGTTCTAATAAATATTCCCTTTATAGTCACAAAGGTTGCCAATACTAATCCTCATAGCTGGTGCAAAGAATATCTGGGAAAATCCATTGCTTTAATGCTGTACTGTTCCGTAGAAGAGAGCTGCTATGTACTTCATATATAAACAGAATTTCGACAGAATTGGACATTTAGAGATCCAGTGGGAGATAATGCTCATATCCCCCAAATACCTGAAAAAAAAAAAATAAAGCTTTCTGAAGTAGTAAAGGGTATGTTCTCTGCTTTTTTTGCTTTCCTTTCAGTAACATGCTTCTATGTCACTAATAGCTGCTGAGAAGTTTGTTCCTCATCATAATTGTATCTTTATAGAATTCTAATTATCAGTAAAACTCTAAATCTGTTTCATATAACTATTAAAATTATTTTCTTCATTGAGTATGCAAATTCAGTAAAATTTTTTACACATTTTTCCATCTTCTTATATAGTACCTACCGGTAGGGAATGGAATGTACTATGAAGCAGGTACAATCAGCCAAAGAATATAAACAGGTCTGACAGACTGAAAAGTTGTAGGTATCTAATGATACCAATAAAATCATATTTATTAAAGATTCCAAGAATTTCATTTCCATGGTAATGCAAATTAGGAACTATGAAAGCAGTGACTTGCAACAGAAGCTTGGATCCTAACCTTATTTGGAGCTCCCAAGCTGCTCACATCAACTTTAGTAGTTAGTTGTCTGTGCCTTTTTGTTTCAGATTGTAAATTTACAGATGGGATTAAGAAAAACTCAGATGTGAGAAAGAAATAATTAATAATGCATTCATAAAATACATCTGCATGAAGGCTATGAAGAGGAATTCTGCCTTCCTTCTATCATTCAAGTAGAAGTGAATTTGTTTCCTTCCAGAATAGATAAACAACCTAAGATTATTTAACTTGGATTAAAATACTAAACGAGACTTTTTGTACACAAAATTCGTTAGACATAAGCAATTCCTCACACAGTGCCAAAATCTTGAGCTGAAGGCTATAATTTAAGTGTTTGATTTAAAATCTGTATGGTGAATATGCTTTAGGCATGGGTCAAGATACCATTTAAAACATTCTTATAGAGCTACCAACTAGGCTCAGTGCTAGAACCTTCTAATTGTGGAGTTGGGGGCTTAGATACTAGAAATTAACTGGGGTAGCTTTATTAGCTATAAAAAAATTTTGAAATGCAAAAAAACTGCACAGTTTTGACTATAGCTTAAATATTGCATTTTTATCGGAAACAAACTGTAATTATTTGTAATTTGTCTCTGGATCTCTTTCTTTGAGATTTTGTATGCCTTAAGTGTGACCAATATTTACTAAGGAAATTTTTTCAGAGGGATAAATTGGACTGGGAATATATCTATATTTGTTTTCAAAACCTTTTAATTTACAGTACCTCAATTGTATACATGACAGCAATAACTGTTTCTGCCAACCATTAAAGGAGGAAAGAATTTGGTAAGGTGGCTGGCTTTTGTCATCTTCCTGACAGTATAGTTTTAATTATGTTTACTTGTATGACTAACCTAGAGCTGGTGAATCTGTTGGAAGTTGTTTCAGAAGTGTTACTGAGATTTACTGGACATATAAAGTACATCCTGGCATGCAAAGTACAGCAGAAGACAAAGAAATTGTCAAGGAGAAAATAACCTGATTATATCTGCAACAGCTAAAGTAAGATGCATCAGTAATGATGTTAATGTAGGGTCAAACCCAGCTGAAACAGGATTTATGGTCAATATATTTACTCTGGACATGAATGATAAATCATTAGAATATAAGTCCTTGCCACGTGTGTCTCCAGCTCAGGATCATGTCAGTAGGAATGGGTTGTGTATGATCTGGGGTTGTGGGGAGGGGATGTCAGGTCTGCATGGCAGCACAGCCTGATTTGAGGGTACTCCCATGTGGCTGACTGGATACAGGAGGTACAGCAGGAGGGGAAAGTCTTCATCACCAGGGTAATTCCAAATTCTAAATCCTCCTCTTCAATTTTCTATTGTACTTTTTATTTTCTGAGTTTATTTTCAAACTCTATCATCAAGGCTTTGGGGGCTTTTTACTTTGTCTTAGCAGGGGAGGAAGTGAGGAAGGAACTAAGAAATACAAGCATGTACTAGTTTTATAGAATTACTTGTAGCTATTCAGCAGAAAGCTGGCAATGCTGTTGATTTAAATATTTTTGTGGTTGCAAAAGTTTGTTTTGAGTAAAGGAAGACTGGGAACTGAGATGAGTTTCATTTCTTGCCTCACACCTTTTTTCCTTTTTTCCTTCTTTTCTTCTTTTCTTTTTTTTTTTTTTTTTGTCTTAGATAGGAAGGCAGAGACCTTCACAATAATTAACCTTAACAAAATTTTGCTATGATGGGAGCATGACAGCAACTATTCTATTTTTAAAAACCACAATTATTAGGAAATTTTTTTCCACAAATATGTATATATTTGTCTGTCTTGGAGGGGCAAATCTACAGTAAACCAGACTTTTGGAGATTTCAAATAACATAGTATTGTTAGCCTACAGCTATTAGGAATGTTTTGGATGTTCTTAAATAGAATAGTCCAGTGACTTATGTTCAGAAATGTTAAAAACTACAATTTTTTTAAGGTGTTATCCATGAATAGTTCTCATGGCTTCATTAGAGTGTGGCCATTGTTACAGGAATTGTCCATTTTGCCTCAAAAGACATCAAACATTTTGCCATAGATTTCAGTGATGTGGTTATTACACAACATGTATGATTGGTACTTGGGATAGTGAACATTATAATCATAATATAAGATGATTGCATGAGGTAACTGCCTTGTCAACTGCTAGTGGTTAGGAGCAGAGCTATCTCTGTAACATATTTACAATTCTTACTCTTTTCCTTCATTGCTGAGGTTCTTCAAGGAGCAACAGTATTTCAAGGGTGGGTTTTATATAAAACTAAGGTGCATCTTCCATTATAATCTTGGGGTTTTTCTGTGTTTTTTCCCTATTTCAGGAGGATACAGATCATAATTATTATACATCAAGGACGTATGGCCCCTATGATTCTACCAGCCGGGATTTGTGGGTCAATATAGACCAAATGGAGAAGGACAAAGTAAAGATTCATGGGATCCTTTCCAATACCCATCGTCAAGCAGCAGTAAGTTATCTTATCATTTTCTTTTCAACTAACATGGATATTTTTCCCCAGGGATCCACACAGCAGTATTACTAGGTACCATGAGTACTGTTCACAGAGCTATATCTTTGAACTCTAGTTAAGCTGTGGAAGTCTTTACACTATTGTTATCAAAGGATTCCTTGAACTTTTGAACCTTCTGTAACAGTCCTTCAGAGATGCCTTTAAACATACGTTTAAAATTTTCCTCTGTCCCTAAGAATCACAAACTATCAAAAGGTAAACCACTTGTGTTGCTGAAATCAGAGGGAATTTTACTGTTGAGTTGAATAGTAAAAGAGCTGTGTTGAGGATGAAGTTGATGAAGTTTTAAGTCTCTCATGGAATGTATGTGGTATGTTTGCAATTCTGTTTTATATGAGGGTTCATTCTTATATTTCCATTTGGGACAACTGATAAAGCTCATGAGAATGTCATATAGTAACAGAAATTATGTTTTTAGGTTATCAGCAAATAAATTTTAGGTTATCAGCAAATATATAAATTGGAGTGTAAATAACAATCATATTTAACTTATTGTAGTCATGCTGCTGGTAAGGTGGGTATGAAAATAATGGGCTTACATGCCTAGAAATGGAGTTAAATACTGTATGATTCAGAGATTGTATTCTTGGTTCTCACCTGTGGCTAGAAGCTGCATACATAGAAGAGCCAATATTAGCAAAAATTGAATACAGAAAATTTTAGCTCAGAACTATGTTTGAAGACACTCTTGTTTCATCCATTCAGCAACTTAGCTCCAAAAAAAAGTCCTTGGGTTTTGCCAGTTTAAAACAAAATCTAGTGAATGCCTTACTTAAAAGTTGTACAGTTTTTAAAGATGCAAATATCTTTAACAGTTTTAAAGCTGAAAGCACAAGTTTAATTCATCTTTTCCTTACTTAATCTTTTTTTTCCCTGGCACAAGTCAGGTGACTGCTCAGAGGAATTCAAGAGGCAGCAGAAAGAAATACTGTGGTATTTAAATCAGAATATAGAAAGCACAGTGAGGTGATAAATCCAGCACATGTAACTGACATAGAGTCCAATTCAAAAAATATATCCTTCATAGTTAAAAGAGTGTAGGCAGTCAGGGATAATGCAAATGCAGAGGGTTTAGACAGTTATAGATCCTTGGGGTAGACTTAATAAAACAGTGTATCAGCTATTTTCTTAAGACAATTTGATTCTAATGAGGAAAAAAAGACCCTCAAGGGTACCTTGAGGTAGTGAGAACCTCTGTTGTCTGTCTTGTCTACTTTATGTGGGATCCTGGTGCCCTACATTGAGGGAAAGAATGGAAATATGCTGAAAGAAAAGCTAATAAATAAATTTAAAATTTTAACCCATGTTTAATGATTAGTAAAGATGACACCCTTCCATGTCTCTGTTGCACCGTTGTTTCCAATTGGATCCTGAGATTATGCAGCAAAAATGTCCATCTCAAGGGGAACATTTTGTTGAAGTTATTAAACTAGAGGCTAGAACAAGGCTATATTTTTGGTCTCTGTGGGGGTCCATGTAGAGGACCATTCAGCATGGCAAATGGAAACTTGAGGGCTTCAACTGTTTCTCCCCAAAACAAGTGGTTTAAGACCTTTCTTCTTAATGTCAGGTGCCCTCTCTGCCTTTCTTCCAGCTCCAGCAGACAAAGCTCTGGTCCCTGTTTAGCACACTAATATCCATGTCTTTTCATGCTTACCCAAATGTCTTGGACTATGAACTTGAGTGGCTGCAGCCATTTCTACATAGAGTTTTAAAGACCCCTTTTTCAGGTCTGTTTTATGTCCCCGCAAAGGATTAAAAACTATCAGAGAGTCATCCTGTAAGGTTTTATTCCTTATTTATGCATCTATAATTGATTTTTTGTATGTGTGTGTCCAAGTAAACAACATCCACATGTACTACACAACAAAGGTGTTTAACAGAGAGATGTGATTTTTATAACTGTACAGCTGCAGAGTCATATATTTTGAGATCATACATACCTCAGCAGCAATCTCTTACCTTCTCTCCCATAAACTTTGCCATTACTCTTTTTAAAAGGCCATTTTGCACATCTTGCACTCAATGATTTACATGATATTTTCTAAACATTATTCTCCAATTTGACAATAGAACCAGGAGTTAAATTATCACATGCTAAATATTAAGGAATTAATTTACAATGTCGGGGATTCTTTGAATGCTGACAATTTTACACTCAATTTGTGTGTTTTCCTTCATTTGGAAGTAAATAATCCTGAGAGTTCCCAGAAGCTGTCAGTTTGTTTTGCTTCTACAAGAAAAGTCATAAGGACTGGAGAGAATCCTGGAGGGGATCCATTTGATGGTTTGATTTTATAAACAGCATAGTAATTTTTTGTGAAAAGTAGCAAACATATACTAATGGAACAATTAAAATGTCTAACACTACAGGATTTATAACACTAGTAGTAAAGGTGTTTTTTCAATATATTGCCACCATCTTCTTAACCATATAATAAAATTTTAGAGGTGGCTTTGATATTCAGTGGGTTTAAATTAGATATCTAAGAGTTGATTAGTCAAACACTGAACTAGCATACAGGATATGTCATACTTGGGAACTCAACTCCCTTTGCTCCCAGTCCATTCTATCATTTATGCATGGAGAGAACATTTTTATTTCAGTGAATTGAAAATTCTGATATTCTTTCTTAAAAATGAGGTATGCTTTCTAGCATTGAAATAAAAGCAAAATTTTAGTGACTGTTAGAATATTGTGTTTCAAAATAATACTTAAATCATGTTGGTTGTTACAGTATTATGCTAAAAAATTGGCTATGTGAAACATTTTTACATTGTCAGAATTTAAGGTATCACATTTTGACTTATTTCAGTGAGAGATCTTTATCGGGCTTGAGTGGAAATGGGATCAAGTTTTTGTTGCAAACACATTTATACTAATGTTTATATTATAGCCATTTAGAAGACAGATTAGGGGGCACAGTTTTCACTTGAAGTAGTTCAATGGTTACTGTGATTCAAAGTGAATAGGTAAAATGGAGGGTGGCATATAAAGGAAAGAGAATCTTTGGTCAGACTATTGGCAATTTCAACAGAGTTCTTCAAATTATGTTTGGTAGAGCAAGGACATAATTTAAATGGAGTGCATTCATAGATTTAGCATACACTTCAGCAGTGAAAGCTGTAGAGCATGGTAAAAGAATATTTGTGTGAGTTAATTCATGTGCTGTCTTTTGCATATGCCGTTTTTGATTAGAAATGTTCAGTTGTACATCCATATTTATGTATATACAGAAAAGGTCATTAGAACCTACTCAGTCCAATTAACACATTGCAAATGGATTTTGCATTCTAATTAAAAACAAACAAAAAATGTGCTAATAAATCCTGTCATAATTCTGTCTTCCATTTAAATGGAAAGCAAATCTTTCCATCCCTTTCCAAACACTTGGAGTTACTGTAAGTCTTCAACTGCTAATTTCATGCTAAATAATTCTTTAAACATTTCAGGTTGATGTAAATATAATTCTTCCTGAGAGAAGAAGTACTCAGATACAATCTGAAAATAACAAATACAGGACAGAAATAATGGGAGGGAAAACAAAGACATGAGTACTTTTCTTCTTCCTTTCCCGTCCACTTTTTTAAAATGTGTGGGCTGCTGCCCTTTCTTAAGTGGAGTCATCAAAAATTACGGTTGAGGGACAGTCACCAACAACTCATCTTCACACCAGATTTTACTGTAGTAAATCCTCCAAAAGAAAGAGTAATGGACTGCATGCTCACTTCATATTTACTATTTGGACCACTGTGGAAGAGATGTGTTTTTCACAGGGTGTTATATTTAAACAGTGAAAAGACCATGCTGAGATTTCAGCACTCCTTTCTGCCAGGACCACTAATTTATTCAGAGTTTAACCATGTAGCACACAAGGTGATAATTATGAGAGGTCACAATAATCACTGAGCTTTGAGAATGGAATGGAATACATGGGAAAAGATAAAGCCATAGGCAGAGAGGTAAAGTGAGTGTGAATTTGAATGTTGCTTTATGATGAGCTTAATTGAGGAGAAGAGTTCATTCCCCAAATTACAATTCTGTGCTATGAATTCAGCTGATAGAGGATAGTCACCTGTAGGTAGATGAAGGGAAAAAAAAAGGTTATTTTCAAAATTTTATTTACTTTATTTTCAACGAGTAGCTTAAGTAGAGTTTGTTATTGCTTCTGTTTATTATTTCTTTATGCATCATTCCATCTACTAGCTGACAGTGTAGAGAACTTTAGGGAATGGTGTCATATGGGTTTGATGGAGGAATTGCCTTCCAGCGACCAGCCTTTATCAGACAAGCTCCCAGGCAGCAGCAGGATGTCAGGGACAGCACCCGAATCTGAAGGCTCATGTGGCAGAGCAGCAGAAAGCCAGCAGCCAAAGTAGCAGATGTCCTGTAAAACACAGGTATTGCTAAGGCTTTTGATATTGATGGGTCCTTTTATAAAAGCAGTTAAAGCAACAGTTTTTTAAGGAGAAACTCTACAAATCTTTCGTTAATTTTATTCTTGTGATTGAGTTACAGTGTCTGTTCAAGTATTTTCTTTTATGAAGTTTTCTGTCATAATGATTCACTGCTTTAAGTGTTTAAGTGCTCCTCAGAATTCTTTCCTGTTAGCTACTGGCAATTCCAAATTAAGAATAACAAGGCTCCAGTGAGGAAAAAAAAGGCAATGAAAGAGATATTTGAAGTGGATGACTGTTCGTCTTTTTTTCTCTTAATGTTCTGCTCAATATTGATTTTATTTTCTACTGTTATTCTTTTCAGAGAGTGAATCTGTCCTTTGATTTTCCATTTTACGGACATTTTCTACGTGAAATTACTGTGGCAACTGGAGGTAAGTGGCTTTCTAACCATTTACTTTGAGTAAGATGAGAAGAGTTTCTTGCAGCTATTTAAAATATTTTTTCCCCTGCTTGTATATGTCAAGAGATAAACTGCAGCTTTTATTTAGGAAATATTCCTGCCCACAAAAAGAAAATCACAAAATATCAATATGATGAAAAACCTCCAGCATTTAAGTTGAACTGTTATAAACCCATCTCATTGTAAGACTATACAGCATTAATCCTTTTCTGTTTAGGTATTTCCCCCAGAACTCAGGTGTATGTGTGTTTAGCAATTGCCCTGGAGGTGAGAGTGCTGGAGCCAGAGCCAGGAGGGAGACAGGGTTTGCCTGCACAAGGGGAGAGGATTTCCTGCCCAAAGATGAGCAGTGCTGCTAGAAGTAGGGCATGTGTCACCTGCAAGGCAAACTCATCACAGTGCATTGTCATGGTGTGGTACAACCTCAGAAAATGTACCATGGCCTTCCTCTCCTCCTTCCATGAGAGGAGTGGGGTGAGAAGGAAGGTAGGGCCAGCTCAAGCTCCCAGTCTGGCAGCCCTGGGCAGCACTGATGGCTCATGGCTGGGGTTCTCCCTCTCACTGCTGCTGGCTGCTGCTTGCAATTCCTGTTCTGGGAATCTCCAATTTCCTGTGCTGGGAACAGCTATCAGCTCCTTCTGTTCCCTTCCCAACTCCAACTCCTTGAAAGACTATTTGATTTTAATGAGACGAGGAAAAGGAGATGACGTGGAAGACAATAATGAGAAAAAGAAGGAGGAGTAATAATAAAAAAATGAAAACAGGGAGGCAAAAGGCAGCATCATGGAGAGCACAGCCAGATGATCATCTGGTCTTTGAACATATCCAGCAAGTTCATGGACCCTGGCTGGTGGTGCTCAGCCTAGAGATGTGGCAGGACCAGCAGGCAGAAATAGGAGCCATCATCATTAGGATCAATTCTATCCTGTCCCTGATTAAAGTTTCTCCTTCTCTTGCTATGGGGTCCAGATGGACATGATCGGGGATACCCATGTCCCACTGGAGTCCTAGATGGGGAGGTTATGACTAACAGATTGGGGTAGAATTGCCAACAGTGTCTCAAAAGGAGTGTGAACTGTAACAGATATTTCTGTCATGCTCCCCATCAGGATCTCCATTTTGCTACCAAAGCAGAATACAAGTGTTGGACAAAGGTGAATAAAGGCTGATATTAAAGTGATTTGCAGTAGAATGATAAAAAAAAGGATACAGGATTATGAAGTGACTTCAGTATCAGTTTTCTTTTCTTGATCAGCAATAACATTTTGATGCTGATTTGGATATGATGAGCCAAGAACCACTGATTTTGATATTTCCATTCTGCTATGCTGTTTGTTTCATTTTGGTGCTTGATCATCAATGCCTAGTTTTGTATTCTTTATTAGAGAAGTTGCTTTTGATGGGTTGCCAAAATCAGCACGTGATTTGTGTAGCATGAAAAGATGGGATAGATCCTGCAAAACTAAAACAGCAGTGGTAGGGACAGGGTTCATCCTCTAAATGTCCCCTTATTCTTACTGCTGCCCTTGGTTCCTTAAAATTTCACAAAGTTCACTCTCTTCAAGTAGTTTTTTGGTGTGGTCATTCTGCTGAGCCTTCTCATTTAATGGAATTTAAAATATCTGGATTTTTACTACTTTTACCACTTTCACTATTATACTGCTCTGACCAGTTCCTCCATCAGACCCAAAAGTCTTGGAAGGAAAGTTAATCTCATGTGGTGAACTGTGTAGGAGCAATTTGTGAGCTACATATTTTTTTCTTTTTGATACTGAGTAAATGAGGAATTTAAGTGCTTTTGTCATTTGTTTTCTTTTTTTAAAAAAAGTCAGAATATAGAAATTACTGTGGCTCTGCAGGATTCTTTTCTCTTGCTATTATTGGAACACTGGCTGATAATTATGCTTTTCTTTTTGCTCCATTTGGACTAAATAAAATATTATTGCTGTAAATAGATTTATGGATTGTTGTCAAGCTAAATATGACTTTAAAATCAGTCCTTTTAATGTAAACCATTAACATTAGCACAGAGATATTTCTGTCTTTCATTGACATTTCCATGATTTTTCCACCTCAAAATTAAGCATGAAAAAAATAGATTTTAATAATAGATTTTAAAATGTTATCTTGATAAAGCTCAGTAGCTGTAAGTGATTCTGTCAGTCCAGGATGCAACATTTACTACAACTATAAGGCTCCTAAACTCATCTAGCAGGAAAAAAAAAGGCTTATTTCTGTACTAACTCTCTAAAAGTGTTTTAATTCACATATATTTGCAAATTTTGTTGCCAAGCATCACACTTCACCACCACTGATTTATGATAACAGAAGATGAATATGTGTTCCACGTGCTTCATATACTCTGTGGTCTGCTATTTCTTGGTAACCAAGATTTTACAATGGCATTACTATTGTTAGAGACCTGGAATACCTCCAGAGGTTATTCTCACATCAAAAGAATGACAAAGTTTGTGTGTACAGAACTCCCACATGACAGATGTCCACTTCCTGGAGAGCAGGATATTATTAATTATGCTAAGGACAACACTAAAAACTGTTTTTTACATACAAATCATAAATTGAATAGCCTTCTTAACAGGGAAGTCGAGGACAATGGCACAATAAATCCCTGTCACAATAAAAACATCAATGCCAATGGTTTCTGCCATTCTTCATGGAGTGTGCACTGTGGCATAGTAGGGCTCCCAAATTGCCTAGGATGATTTTGGAATCACTATGGTTTAAGACTCAACTTTTTTTTCTCTTTGGCCAGTATTTATTTCCTCTTCTGAATAGTTTTGATGACCTGATTTTGTTCAACTAAGAAAAGGAAGAATGGGTAGTGAAAAAAAATAATTTGAGGGTTTTATCCACTGTTTTCTTAGTTTGTATTTGAAAAGGCTATATATTATTATATAAATTATATATTAGAATTGAAATAATCATTGAAAAGATTAGTAATTGGTTCTTTACTATACAGACATGTCTCTGCCCACATTCCTATAGATAGTCCTCAAACAAGCTGAATTTTGCTTTTTGTGAAGCTTTCTAAAGTTTGTAGCCTACAGGCCAAAACTGGGGTAATTTTGTAAAAAGAAAAAACTTGTGAGATAGTGAGTCAGGTTGTGTATGCCAGGAGCTGAGTATAAGAAGTCTGCTTGTTGCCAGTCACTGACATCCCTCACAGAGCTCAGTGGAGCTGGGAAAAGCCCCTCTTGTGATGCATCTCTCCATGTAGTACCATAACCCTTCTCAAGGGCATCCTTGAAGCTCTGTGCCCCCCATCCTACTCAACATGCTGCAAACTTCATTACTGGCTGTATTCATTTTCCATGTTCATTGTAGTAAGCCCCTCTTGTTTATTCTCTGTGGGGATTTTTTTTGTTTGTTTTGTTTATCAGTCTCTATTTTTTAGTGCAATTTTATATCAGATACTGTAAGTTATTTAGGTGGGGTTTTATTATGGTATTTTTTGTTGACATTAAATTTCTCTGAGGTATTGCATGGAGAAGGAAAGGCCTTGCTGTGCAAGCACTGCCCAGCATTAAGAAAACATAACAATAACAGTAGAAATTGAAGTGACTAGGTGGTTACATTTTTAGATTTATAATGCTGAATATTGAGACATTTTGCCAGCTAGCATGAAGAAAGCTCCAGAAATGTCCATTTATCCTGTATAGTAGCAAATTGCTGAAGTTGAAGCAAGCAGCTGAATTTTTAAATATTGTATTAAATTTTTGTGAGGTATCTTTCACTAGAGGAATATTCCATATGGAGGAATTGTCTGAAATAATTCTGAGGATGCTGCCTGAGCATTTCTACCACTGTCTATCAAAGGAGTACCAAGCAAAGAAATAAAAAGCCATCCTAGCAGTGAATTCCAGTGTAATCAAATCAGAGTTGATAATTTTCTAAAACAGAAATCAAAAACTCTCTGTATGATTATTTCTTCCTAAGGCCAGATCTCATGCTTAAAAATACTTGTATTTATGGAAGAAAGAGATTTTTGTACATCCAAGATTCACGCAGATTTTCATCAAAATTACAGCAGTACTGTGTTCTATTGACACAAGATAAGAACACAAGCATTGAAAATACTGAACGAATTTTTCTGCTGAAACCTGATGTTATTGGATCTTGCATTGAGGAGCAGCTGTGAGGTACCTGAGCATGGTTCCTAAACCCTGACTAGTTGGGACAACTGATTCAAAGTAATCTTTCATTCTCATGAAGAATCACACTTATTTCAGAATCAAATTCTTTTTGAGTGTACATATGGCTTGTGGGAAAGCACCAAAGGCTAAATATCTCTGGTTAGCAAGCTAGTTGGTTAGCTACTTAAAAGCTGAAGTTCTATACAGAGATAACACTTTAAGTTTTCTTCTGGACATCAAATGTGTATATATCGTTATGGAATTCTGTTCAATTTTACTATTTTTAATGTAGCAAGGAGGGATATGAAAAATAAGTACTTAAGTGTGGAGAATTCTAATACAATTTCCATCACATTTTGCAGTACTTTCAAGGAAAAGGGATCAATGATAGAGAGAGAGTATGCTGTGGGGAAGGAATGAAGCCTGTGTTGCACTGTCTCAGCCCTATCGTTCTGTGTTGGCAATACCTCTGAGCAGGAGGGAAATTTGTCCACCTAGGTGGTGGTGCTACGGAAAGAGAAGGGACCACAGGGTCAAGACCTGAGCTTATTAAGGGTGAGGATGGTTGTGCATTTGCAGCCTGCAGAAATTCTATGCTAATTAATTTTTTTCTCTGCATCTCATGCATTTTTTTTCTTAAATTTCCAAACCAGTGGGTAGGTAGAGTGAAATTTACTTGTCTCTTTGAATTATCAGTGTCCTGAGTGGAATGTTTTATTGGAGTCTGCCAGAAATTTCAGCAAGGTTTCTCTGGCTGTTCCTGCTTCTCTGAACCTTTCAGCACAGGAGCCAGCAGGAGATGTGCTCATCACTTAAT